CCCGCTTGATGTCTTTTGCGGGATTCTTCCCGGGCCTTTTGATGGTCTTTGCAATCGCGGATTTCTTTCCCGACGGATGGTCCTATTGCGGGATTTCTGTCCGCCGGATTTTGATGTTGATGCCAGAATCTTCATTTCTGCTTGATGTTTCTTCGCCGCACGGTTTCCTTCCGACTCAGGATGTCATGCGGGGGCATTCCTTTTCCCGAATTTGATGTTGCATCAGAAGTCTCATTCTGGCTCTGATTTGCTTTCGCGGGATCCTTCCTTGACTGGATGGTGTTTGGATGCCAGGAATTCATTTCTTGGCTTGATTTCTTCGCCGCGGATTCCTTCCCGGACTGGGATGTCTATGCCGGGCCATTCCTTTCCCGATTTGATCGTATGATGCCGCAGGAATGCATTTCTGGCTTGCATTTCTTCGTGGGATTTCCTTCCCGCACTGGGTGTTCTTTGTGGGGTTCCTTCCCGATTTGATGTTGAATTCAACTTATTGACTCGAGTTTCGTATCGGATTAGTGATACTTAGGCGAATACTGACTTTGCTTGTTGTAGTGGTTTTACCACTGGTGACTAGCAAATATGACCTTTGTATTCATCACAAAAGAGTTTTGAATACCCACATTTGCGTGACCGTAAACTTGCAGTGGCTTGCAGGTGTTGAAAGAGCTTTTTATTGCTTTGGCTTCACCATGTTTTGAAATTCTTCAGTTTAATTTGATTCTTTTCTTGAACTTTATCTTCCTCTGAAGTTTGAAACTTATTTCCTCAATGGTTTCTTCCTCTCCATAAGGAATTTTTGAGGGAGACTCTTCCTTTCCTTTGTTTTTCAGAAAATGATCCTTGTTTATAAGGCACACTTGTACTTGTACCTATGCTGAGGCGCTATCATTTCAACGTTGTTTGGTTGTCATCCAATTTGTGAGGGAAATGGACTGCTTCTTTTAACTTTGCTTTTTCAAAAAGGTGGTAGCAGGCCGCTGTGTCCCTTTTGTCCCTTATGAGCTGAGATGATTTTGTCATTTCTACCCTCTGATGGTTTGGAATTTAACGTGTAGCTTTGCAGTTGACCCGTTTTTGACAACTTGATTTCCTGGTAGCTTTGTCCTTGATTCTTTCTTTTGTGCAGAGGTTTCCCTTTTGACCCCATTTTTCCCTTTTTTTTTTTTTTTTTTTCTCCTCTTTTAGAAAGGCAGCCTCTCCATAAAGAATGGTCGAGGCAAACTTGATTCTGGAGATGACTTGAGCTAGTTGTTAGGGATAGCATCCGTGACTGTGCAGACCCAACCATAACTTCTTTATTTTCTGTCGCTTTTTTAAAGCCTAAAATTCCAGGACACTCTCTGTCGGAGCATCTTCCATTTTCTGGAGAAATCAATTCTGGCCCCTAACCCCTTTGAATCGGCTTTTGCCTCCGGTACTTTGTTTAAGGTCTTTGCGTACCCTTTGGCTGGATCCTTTTTCCCATTTGACATTACCCTTCAAAACTTTCCCCTTTGATTGGTGCCTTCTCATTTGGTACTTTTGTTATTGAATTTTATTTCCGTACCTGCACTTTTGGTTAGGTATTGAAAATATGTATTCATTGTTTGAATGAAAAATGGGGTTTTCACCCATTTCGCGATGTTACTTTTTTTTTTTATTTTCTGGGGCCCCCCGCTGTCCTGCGGGCTGCTTGCCCGCTGACGTTTGGGCGGCTGCTGCCCCCTCGTTCGGGGTGGGCAATTTGGGGCAGTCTGCCCCGGCCATCAAATTCGGCGGCTGCTGCTGCCGTCGTTCGGCGCATTTTTCTATAAAAACTAGTTTTTTTGTTTGGTTCTTCACTCATCCTTTCTTTTCTCTCTTCTTTTTCTTAATTTCAAAGAATGAATCCCTTTTTTACTCACAGCATGCACAGCTGGATTAAGAGTCTCTCCAAGGTCGAAAAGATCAACTTGGGGAGGTACGGTCTCTCTCCTATCGTTACCCTCAGGGGGGTAGTAATCGACTGGAACTTTTATGGGCCTGCATCAGACTTTGGGACCCTGAGGCCCATGTGTTCCGGTTTGGAGCCATGATGGAGGAGATGTGTCCTCTTTTGGTGTTCCTCTTTTTGAGGGAGTTCTGTGCTATTTGAGGAATTTTGTGCTATCATAGGGTGTGACCCTAATGCCCCTTTGGTTAGGCATGAGGTCAAGATTGGGTATGTTCGGTCGTTCGAAAGCTTGTTTTAGTTCAACCGTCCTCAAGCTAGGGCCATGGTTGTTGGCGATCAGAAAGCAATTTTGTTGTCCCTGATTGATGAGTTTTCAGGGGTTTGTTCAGATGACCCAGACCGGATGAGACTAAGGATGCGGGCCTTGGTTTTTTGTTTATTGGCTGGCTTCTTGTTCAACAAGGATCCGGGCTTCGGGGATTTGCGGCTTTGTCCCATGGTTCGCCCCATGGTTCGGCAAATGGAGGATATGGAGGATATGGTTGCATAGGTGTATTGATTGTGCTGGCAGAAACCATCAGGAGTCTCGACAGAGCCGCTTTAGGCTTTGAGGATTGGACGGTTTCTCCTATTATTCTTCAGGTATTTCTTCTTTTTCTATATTATAGATATATTTTCTTTTTCTTTTGGGCTGTCTCTTTGTAATAGAAAGGATCCGTTACTCAGGTTTGGTTGAAGTACCATCTCCGAGTGGTTGCCACTCCTACTTTGCTGCCTTATAAACCTGTCCAGTATCGCATGCGGAGGATCTTGATCACACATCCGTCTGTTGATGCCTGGACCTCATGGCTGATTGAGTTGGGTCCGAATGAAGTGCTGTGGTTTGGTTTGTACCTTGGGTACGGCATTACCCCGCTTTAATTCAAGTCAGCTCTCACCATAACTCAGGGTTTAACCTTTTAGGCCTTACCCATTGTACTTGGTACTGTTGCGCTTTCGAGCGTTATTGAGGCAGATGGGAATAGATCAAAGGACTGTACCAGATCATGGATGACTCTTATATCTGATTCCACCAATCACTCTCCGGGAGTTTATCCGAGCTGTCCGAGCCGTCCTTAGAGCTTGGGTTAGAGACCATCAGATGGTTAGGCCTTTACCTAATCCTGGTGATATTCAGACTTCCCCTGAGTATCGGGCCTGGTTCGTGACCATTGTCTGGCCGGTTGAAAGGCTGAAGAGGAACGCATTGCTGAGTGCACTTGAGGGTTGGACTCAGGCTGACACTGGTGATGGGGTTAGGATTGATGAGGAGATTGTGTTGGCTCCTCAGACAGGTGAGGTTGTGTTGACTCCTTGGACAGGCGAGGCTGGAGAGAGTTCAACAGCTAGGGATGACTCGGAGGACGTTGCCCCACGGAGGCGACGGGCCACCTAGACTCCGATAGGCTTTATTCTTTGGTTTTGGATGTATTTTGTTTCATGGATTTTATATATATATATATATATTTTTTGGCTTTCTGCTTGTACTGTTTGGCTTTATTTTTTTATTGGAGTGTTGTTTGACTTTTAAGCTTTCCAAGCATGTTCCAACTTTATTCCTTTAAGCTCTAATTTTTGCCTAAGCCGCCCTTTCGGGTTTTCAACTTGGCGAGCTACCCATTTTTGCCTAAGCTGCCCCCTAAGCCGCCCTTCGGGTTTTCCGACTTAAGGCGGGCCCCCGACTTTTGCCTAAGTCGCCCTTTCGGGTTTTCGACTTAGCGGGTTTTTTTCTTTGTTGTTTTTTTTTTATTATATTTTTTTAATTATTTTTTTTTGTTTTATTTTTTTTTATTAAGCAAAGAAAGAAAGAATGATGAAAGATGATTTTTATTAATGTTTAGACCCGTGCCCAATGAGGGCTGCCTAACATACTCCGATATGTAATTTTCTTTTTTTTTCGAAGGAGAAAATCAGGTCTAATGTAGTTCATTTTAACATTATGCAAATGCTTATAACAAAATATCTCTTTAAACTGATCTAAATGAAATATGGAATTTGCAAAATTCATTCCAAACCATCCAAATCAGTCAAGATGACGGCTCCGCCGGACAATACTTTCTTCAACACATAGGGGCCAGCCCAATGAAGACGAAACTTCCCACGTAGATCTTGAATTGGCTGTCTAATTTCCTTCAGAACCAAACAACCTTCTTCGAGTTTTCGGTTCTAATCTCTTTCAGGACCAAACAACCTTCTTCCAGTTTCCGGTCTTTGACTTTCTTATTAAAATGCCGTGCCATTCTTCTCTGGTAGACTTGAGTATGGTGGATTGCTTGCAGTCGCTTTTCGTCCATACTCAAGAGCTGCAGGTGATAATTCTTAGCCCAGTTTGCTTCGCTAATCTGGCTTTCCTGAAAAATCCTTGCCGACTGAACTTCCAGCTCAATAGGCCACACTGCTTCCATGCCATATATCAAAGAATACGAAGTTGCTCCGGTGGGTGTTCTAATTGAAGTTCTATATCCCCATAGGGCATTCGGTAACTGTTCGTGCCAAGAGCTGTTCATGCCAAGCTTTATGCTTTTTAACTGTCTTCTGCAAAATGACTTTTATAGCCTTATTTGCAGCTTCTACAGCCCCATTCGTTTGTGGACGGTAGGGCGAGGATTTATGGTGCCGAATTTTCGTTTCTTTCAACAAATTAGAAAATTCGCTCTGAAAGTGAGACCCGTTATCCGTAATGATCTCAAATGGTGTTCCGTACTGACAAAGGATGTTAGTACGAACAAACTGTGCTGCCTTCTTGGCATTTAAAGCCGAATGAGAAGCTGCTAATAAGAAGCTGCCTCAATCCACTTAGTGAAATAATCAACAGCAACAAAGATGAATTGATGGCCATTGGAGGCCTTCGGGTGGATCTTTCCGATCATGTTTATGCCCCAAGTTGCGAAAGGCCACGGTGAAGCAATAGGATTCAAATTGACCGGAGGCCGTTTTTGAAGCTTAGCAAAAATTTGACACTCATGGCACTTCCGCGCGTGCCTCACGCAATCTGCAGTCATAGTCGACCAGTAATAACCCAGGTTCATAATTTTTCGAGACAGAGCTATCCCGTGCATGTGTGGACCGGACTCCCCATTATGTAAGGAATCCATGATGGCTTGAGCTTCTCCCTGGCTATCCCGTGCATGTGTGGACCAGACTCCCCATTATGTAAGGAATCCATGATGGTTTGAGCTTCTCCCTCATCCACGCACCTTAGGTGTAAGCCATTCGAACTTCTCTTATACAGAACTCCCCCAGTAAAGAAATATCCGGATGCTAACTGTCTCAGTGTTCGTTGATCAGTCTTGGTAGATCCCTCCGGATAAACTTCATTCTGAAGATAATTCTGTATATCCCAGTACCAGGGCTTGTCATCCACCAAATTCATGAAATGTGCTGGCTGTTTCTGTAGCCGAACTGTGAGAGGTCGAATGACTCGGTCTCCTCCCACGTTGACCATGGAGGCCAAAGTGGCCAGAGCATCAGCGGCATCGGCAAACTGATTTTTGGCTCGCGGCAAGTAGTGGAAGGATAAATCCTCAAATTGCTGAGCCAATTCATCCAAGCGTTGTAGGTAAGGAATCAAATGCTCTTCCTTAATTTTCCATTTCCTTAGAGCTTGAGAGACTATCAGATTGGAATCTCCAAAAACTTTGAGGATCTTTATTTCTTTTTCTAGGGCTGCTTCTAACCCCTTTATACAAGCTTCATACTCGGCTTCGTTGTTGGTGCAGCCGAAATCTAATTTGACTGCGATTGGGATGTATTCTCCACAAGGAGTTTTGAATACGACTCCAACCCCATTTCCATGGTAGTTTGAAGCTCCATCGAAATTTGAGCTCCCACGAAAGGTAACAATTTCCCCAGACTTCAACTTTCCCAAGTTCAACAAGTCTTTCATCCAGGAAAATTCTAAACTCCGGCAATTTGGATCTTCGAGCCTGTTTTTAAATTCCTTGCTAAATTGATCCGGCTAAGGCCTCACCTTTCACCGACTTCCGTTCACAAACTTCAAAATCATAGCTGCGAGTAACTGATACCACTTAGCCATCTTACAATCAAGAACCAGGCCTCATCATAAGGAAATTTCCAAGGGGTTCGATTTCAGAAATAAGCGCTTGTGAGTGTAAGGATGAAAGATAAGTGCTGTAGCCTTTGTACAGCGCCATAACTAAGCCAAAACACAGCTTTTTCTATCTTGATTGTATTTCAATTCTATCTTATTGTATTTCAACTCGTAGTCTAGCATCCTTTTGCTGAGGTAATACACGGCATTCTCTACCCTTGTATCTTCTGCTTGTTGAGCTAGCATCGCACCCATCGCTTCTTCTGTCACTGATAGGTACAACCGCAAAGGCTTTCCTAGCCTTGGTGGCTGTAAAATTGGCGGGGATAACAGATACTGTTTGACTTGGTCAAAAGCTTTCTGACAATCCTCATTCCATTTGACGGCCACTCCTTTTTTGAGCAATTTGAAAATCGGGCCGCAAGTATCGGCCAATTGATTGATGAATCGGCTGATGTACTGTAGCCTCCCCAGGAAACCCCGAACTTCTTTAACTATCTTTTTTTACCGTCCTTGTGGCTGTGCAAAATAT